CCTTTTTAATGTTGGGGTTTGAAATGGACGTAGAAAAGCAGATGGTGACACCATTCACTGCAGCCTGTGCTGTACCCACTGATGAACAGATGAGATTGTAACCGTTCACCTTTATTTCAAATAGTGTTCCTCGGATACAGGGAGGGGTCTGCAAGAGCCTGGGCTCTGGGGGAGGCTCTGACTGGGCAGCCCGGCCTCAGTCCCCTCAGCCATCCAGGGATTCGAAAGGGAGCTTGGTCTCAAACGAGGTGCTGACTTTGAGGACTTTCATGGTCCCTTGAACTTCTGATCCTCCTTTTCCTCAACAATCAGTGCCAAGACTCATAAGTTCTAGAGTCCAAGATTAACAATGCTAAATCCTCAAGCTGACTGAAGATTGCCGAGTTTGACTGAGATGTTAAAATATAGAAACAACCCTTCTATTTTGACTACCTGTTAAGGTCCTGCAATTAATACAACTAAAGTACTACTTTTGTTGAAAAGTAGGTGGGTAGGGGCTTCTGAAAGCCCCTGGTAGCTGTGCCCACAAAGGAAAATGAGCGCAGACACGCAGGGGAAGAAGGCTGTGCTCGACTTGTTAGAGTATAGGGCTGTTTCTCCCGAGACTGAGGTAGCGCTACAACGCAGAGGACAAGGCAGGCCGGAGCGGCCCCGCCTGCCCTTGTCCCCTCTAGGCTAAGTGAAATGGGCTAGAGAGAGGGCGGCGAGTGCAGGGACCTGACCTCCAGCTCTGTCTACTCAAAACACTTTAAGATGCGCTCTCCAATCCCAATGAAATAGACCCCTTGAGCAATCCCAAAGAGAGGTGCTATGACCAGTGCCCGGCAGCCAGCGCCTTTCATGAAGGCAGACGGTCCCTCCTGAATCCAGAGTTTCCTGGGGAGAAAGAAGAGCCGGTGAGCTGATGGGCAGGGGCAGTCTGCCAGCAGCCCTCGGTGGCGGCCTCTCCATTTGTGCACCTCTCGTTCGAGAATAGTGCCTTCCACAGCAACAGCAAGGGGCCAACGGTGTGGGGCTGTGCCTCGCCCGCTAGGTGCGTGCAGGTTGGTTACTTATGCAGTTGGGTCAAGGCCTTGGAAACAGGCTTGATGTGGCTAGAATCTTTGGTGAGAGATGCTGTGGGGATACCACAAAGAAGAAAAAGGCTCCCAGTACATTGTTTTCTCTGAGACGTGAGGGAAAGACAGACTTCAAAGACACCCAGAGCCCAGCATTAAAGCTGGTCTCTAAATCTGATCTAGGCAGACACCCATGCAGAGGAACCGGTCCCAGCCACCATTTGAGGGGACACTGGCTCTCACCTGGCACAGTCAGTGATCCCACTGTACACGTCCTCGCCCAGGCCTTTCTTGAGGGTTTGGATTCGAGTTTTCAGAACTAAATGAAGTAAAAGTTAAAGTAAGTAGTGAACAGCTTACCTTTGGTGTCCTCCCCTCAACACGAAGTGGCTGGGTCCTCCTTTAGAGCTACCACATGTAAAACTGCGTCATAGGCCGGGCACGGTGGCTCACGCCTGTAATCCCAGCACTTTGGGAGGCTGAGGAGGGCGGATCACGAGGTCAGGAGTCCGAGACCAGCCTGGCCAACACAGTGAAACCCCATCTCTACTAAAAATACAAAAATGAGCCGGGCACGGTGGCACATGCCTGTAGTCCCAGCTACTCGGGAGGCGGGGGTGGGAGAATCGCTTGAACTGGGGAGGCGGAGGTTGTGGTGTGCTGGGATTGCATCACTGCACTCCAATCTGGGCAACAGATTGACACTCCATGGCAGAAAAAAAAAAAGGTCATGAGACCAGTTCTGCCATTGTGTGCATTGTGTGATCTGTGAGTGGAGGTCTTCGTCTTTGCGCCTCAGCTATAAAATAAATGAGTCACGTTACCGTGGGTTTGTTTGGTTTTGTTGAGACAGGGTCTTGCTCTGTTGCCCAGGCTGGAGTGCAGTGGCACAGTCACAGCTCACTGCAACCTCGACCATCTGGGCTCAAGTGATCTTGCCACCTCAGCCTCCCTAGTAGCTGGGACTACAGGCGCTACCACCACACCCAGCTAATGTTTTTACTTCTTTTAGAGACAGGGTCTCACTTTGTTGCCCAGGCTGGTCTCAAACTCCTGGGCCCCTGTCTCGTCCTCCCAAAGTTTCGGGATTACAGGTGTGAGCCGCTGCCACACCCGGCCAGGTTACTGTTGGTATAGGAAGTCCGCCCGCATGTTTGGGGAGCTGCGGGCAGCCCTAACACAGAGGGAGGCATTGTCTCCTCACAGTGGGTTTAGCTCCCGCCTTTAGCCCCAAATTTTATGTATTTATTTTTTTTGAGATGGAGTCTTGTGCTGTCACCCAGGCTGGAGTGCAATGGTGTGGT